TCCACATAAGCAGCTAGATCTTGTATGAGACTTCCTCCATCTCAACTCACGATCCCACCCCTCAGCAACTCTTGCCTCACAAGCCCCAGATGCCCCTATAGCCCTGCAATACAGGCACCCCAGACTGTGAGGATTTTCCCTTCACCTTTCCTCCTTGGCATTTAAAATGTTCAGGAGCATGCTGTGACTTCATAGCAGTCAGGAAGAAAGAAGAGAAAAGAGGAGGCTCAGACAGACCACCGCAAGTTCATATATATATATAATATATTAAATTAATCTTACCTGCCAGAGCAAGGCTTCCCTGGAAGACTTCTTGCCTTATGTCATATAATTACTTTACAGTCTTGGAGTTTTATGACTTAATGTTCCTTGAGTACTTTGTGAAGTTCTCTGATTCATAGCAAAAGTAGCAAAGGAATCCTATCATACACCACATCAAACAATTTAGTTGTTCTGTAGCGCAGATCTAAGATATCAGTCTGAACCTAGGTCCATTGTGTCTTCTCCCAGTGACTGGGCTTAATGCTATTGATAGCCAAATGGGAGTAAGGTAGAATAAACAGAAATTATATGCGAAATATCAGTTTATAAACAAGGGAGGGGGGAAAATGGAAATATGCAACTAGTGTCATTAGACTCCAGGGGGAACTTGTGTGGAATACAATAAATCGCTGTGAGTTCAAAGACTTCAGTCTTATGCAAGAGTTCTCTTTAGAATTAGTCAAAAAAGCAAAGCCTATAACTCCCTGGCTGGGCTAAAATAATAATCTGGGCCTTGTAAAATGCAAGTAAATTTTGCAGCAAAAATCTCAAGGCTAATTAATAAAGTATATCAAAAGTAATGAATAAAGTATAAGAAGCAATGCTTACTTTGACATATACATTTAGTTTGCACACTTTATTCTGAGTTGGTTGTTTTTTTTGGGGGGGAGGTTGGGGGGAAGAATGAGCTATGTGGAAGTGGGTGTGGGGGGGGGGAGCTAGCATGTGTAGTAAAGGAATATGGATGAAAACCAGAATGGGGGAAGCTGTTGACTTTGCCTTAGAATGCAGTAATGGCTGCTAGCTTAGATGACGTTTAGAAAGGTTAGAAAAGTCATAGTGGATACATCAATTGATGGTGACTAGCCATGATAGCTAAATGGAAACTTAGAGGTAGTTTATCTCTGGAATGGGATACCTAATGCTGGAGACATCTAGTGTGTATGTGGGGGGTGGGGTTGCTTTCATGCCGGGTTTCTAGATTTCTCAGAAGCATCTGGCTGGCTTTATTGGAAACAAGATGCTGGACTATATAGTCCTTTGGTCAGGTCCAGCAGCCTTCCTATAAGGCAAACATGGAAGATCTTACCCTGGATCATTGTTTGGACGTTGAAGATTTCCGCCTGATTTGGCACATCTTCCTGTTTCGCTGCAATGCCATTGCTGTAAAGAAAAAAAGGCTCCTTTAAAGACATATTTATTACAGTTGTTACATCTGTGAGTTGGCTTTTGAGATGATACCCATAAAAACAGATGAAAATATTTTAAAATAACTCATGTTTATACACCTTGCCTATCTGTGGTCATTTTATTTTACTTCACCCAACTGGGGCATAATTATTTGTCAAGATGGAGAAATAGAAGTACTTCTTCATGCAAAGGAATTAGCATAATGTAAATATGGCCACCAACTGACTATCATGTCTTCTTAAAAGAGGCTTAGAGAACAAAGTTCGAGTCCAGTGGCAGCCTTAAGCCCAACAATGTTTTATTCCAGGTATAAGCTTTTGTGTGCAAGCACACTTCCTCAGGTCTGTCTTCCATGAATTGTCAATAAGTAGCCACTAGTAATGATAGTAATAGGATGTCCATGTTTCCCAAGATACTGAGCACTAACAACAGAGAGTGGTCCATGTTTCCCAAGATACTGAGCACTAACAACAGAGAGTGGTTATTGCCATAATGTCAAGCTTGAGAGCTTTCTGTCCTTTGTTGGAGACAAGAAGCTGCAGTAAGATGGCTCTTTCCCCCCTCTGACGTATCAAGTCAGTTCTTAGGTTCTCCATGAAATATTTGGTGCTGTCAGTCCCCTTTCCTGCCCTTTTGGGAGAATTGTCACATTCAGGACAGTCCTTGTGCCCCAGAATTCTGAAACTGGGTGACATACAGAAAGCACAGAAAGTTTTTTACATCAGTTGTTGTTGTTGTTGTTGTTGTTCAGTCGCACAGTCGAGTCCGACTCTTTGCGACCCCATGGACCAGATCACGCCCGGCCTTCCTGTCTTCCGCCGTCCTCTGAAGTTGGCTCAGTTTCACGTTCGTTGCATCTATGACATCAGTACAAATCAGTAAAGCTCCACCTGTGAAATATCTGCCTCCTTCAGAGATCTTCCAGAAACAGGCACTTGTTCTCGAAGAAATACGATGGTCTGATAAGTCTGAGCTAGTTTAAAATTGAACGTTGGTTACGTAAAACGAACAAGATGGGATGGAGCCAAGATGAAAAAAATGCCTTGGTGATACCATATAAAGTCAGCATCCAGCCCCCGCTCCACAGAGTTGGGAGCAAAGCTGTAACCTTGATGTGCCCTGTGTGTGGGGGTGTGCATTGGCAAAGCTTGGAGGACTGAAGCCTTTGTAAGTGGAGGTTTTAGAACAAAGCTGTGCCTTCATGGGTTGTTTTGACACTTCCTCTCTTTCTCTTTGCTTCGTGCCAGACCTCTAGCATTAATTTCCATGGATGTGGCTCTCTGTGTGTCATAAGGTGGGGGCAAGACTGGTTGGCACAGCTGTCTTTTGAACTTTAATTGTCGAGCTTAATCTGTTTTATTCAGTGCTTTACTGTAGAGTGACTTGCTAGAGGACAGTTTGGCAAGGTTCTTTTTTTAATACTCATCATGGCTATTTATTCTTGTTTGATGGCAGAGGTGACACTACATATAGATTAAGTGAAAAGGGCAGCATTTTCTGACCATATGCCTAATTTCTGGAATTAGCTTCAAGAAGCCAGCAGTATCTTCAAAATGTCACCTCCCCACACCCTATTTAGTGGTCTCAACTTACTCAAATTATTTTTCAGCCCACGAAATGCTGTTTTGTCAACAAATGAGGAGGTTGTGCAATTGCAACATCCAGGCAGAATTCAGCTTTTGAGAAACCACTCCAGCTGTGAGTTAGCTGCACTACATTGCAAAGGAGAGCGGGAGAGCAAGTCTGCCTGTTCCCTCCTTCCTTGAGACATCTGCCCTCCATGAGGTAGCCAAACTCCAGAAACTGTAAGGTCTTGCTAAGAGAGTGGTATTTTCCATACAGGGACAGGCTTTCTAGTTTCCCTGTTGCTGCTTTGGCTGCAGATATGGCACAACAGCAAAGGGGCTTCCACATGGTGGGTTTCCCGACAGCTTCCCTGCCCCAGTGTCTCAGCAGCAACCATCGTGGTAGTGCACCTGCTTGGCATGCAGAAAGTCCCGGGTTCAGTCCCCAGTATCCCCATGTAAAAGTATCAGGTTGTAGGTGATGTGAAAGATCTCTGCCTGAGACCCTGGAGAGCCACTGCCAGTCTGAGTAGACATTACTGACCTTGATGGGCCAATGATCTGATTCAGTAGAAGGCAACTTCATGTGTTCATGTCTGCAACACCCAGGCTTTTAAATTTTTTGAAGCAGCAATTAGCTATCGTTATAACAGTCTGTATATTGGGTTCTCTGAACTTCCAGTTTTCATTTTTTAAAATGTCTGTACCCTCTTTAATTGCAGAGAGATTCAATTAAATTATTATCTCTGCAGCAAAGGGGGCTAGAGACTTGTCGGAATGAAAGCTGGGAACTCAGAGAAGCTGATACAGACTTTTATTATTGTATAAAAATACTCAATTGTTGATTAAAATACCAAAAGGGGGGGCTGCTATGGGGACAAGGGAAGGGAAAAAAGCTGCTGTGTGGCTGGAGCTAGGAAGATCCACGCTTTCTTACCAACATGGCAGCCATGCAGGCTGTGCTGTAGTCTTTCCCCATACTTCACAGTAAAGCAGGTATGAGAAAGATTGGAGAAAATCCAGGCAAACCCTGGGAGGTGTATGGATGCGCCATGATGCTGTGGGGAAAGGGGGGGGGGGGATGCTTCCCAATAGCATCAGATTCAAGGCAAAATAACCCATGCAAAGATGGCCAGTGACTGGGAAGACACACCTGCTGAAACTGTTTCTGTCTGGGCCCACAGTTGGGCCAGAATATTACCCGTATTGCTGCCCAGTACTCTTTACTGAGCCATTACTGGTAGCATCTAGCCCAGGTTATTTTGGGCCCAAAACATGAAAGTGTCCATATTCTGTACTTACTTTTTGTACTGAACAGGTGGTGGTCTGGTAAGGGGGCTTGATGGAATTCCTGAGTCATAGTCAGACCATGATGACAGCATCCCTTGCCACAGGAGCTGGAGACCTATTGGGATTGTCTGGCCAGGAGTCTTATGGACCTGATTGGTTTCCAGAGTGCTCTAGGGGAACGATCCTCAGGCTACACAGGGTTTGGTGGGTTTAGTAGAGGCCTAGAAGTGAGACTATGTTTGTGCACTTGACTATAAGCCCAGTGGAGATGGATTTGGGACTGTTTTTTTAAAAAAAGTTTTTGTATTTACAGAGTTCTATGGGGGTTTTGTGCCATGGTTGTATCTGTAAGCTGCCCGGAGCCACTGTTCGATGGTGGAAAAGGTGGGGTATAAATGTTTTAATAAATATAAGTTGGGGCAAGGACCTGACTTTCTTGCTCATGCTGTAAAGCACCAGCTGACAGCTGACTTTCTCCAATCACAGCATGAGTTGGCAGCAGAGATTTTTTCCTCTTATTTTTTATTGTCCCTCCTTTCCTCCTGGCTCAAATACTTCATTCCCTTTGCTCTAAGTACCAACTTGATCATCCCTTTTTTCGAGATCCGAGATGAGACCTGGAACCTAGACAGAAGGTTTTTTTCCTGAGATGTAGCTATTTAATTGCTTGTTTATCTTTTTGCCTCCTTGTAGATGTTGATGAATGTAGCATCAACCGAGGAGGTTGCAAGTTTGGCTGTGTAAACACCCCTGGCAGCTATGAATGTACCTGCCCTGCTGGTTGCAAACTTCACTGGAATAAAAAGGATTGTATAGGTGAGTTCAGAAAAAGTCTGAGGTCTTGCTGCCACCTAGAGGTAGGAGGCATTTGAGCCATAAGAGGTCAGGATGTGTGAAGTTGCTGGTTGGAGAACAAGGAGATGGAATTTTGATGTGAATCATATTTAGTACATCTTCACAGTGTTAGTTTGCTGTAAATATGTTTTTGTGCATCTTTTTTACTGCAAATATACTATTCTTGCTTTCTCTCTTACGATGCTTTTCATAATCCATTGTCTTTTAACCACTGTGTTCAAGCCACTAACTTTCAAAGATACCTCAAATTGATTGCAGTTCTGACGCTGCTTTTAGCACATGGAGTTGCACAAACATTTGTTTGGATTACATGGAATTGACCTCTTAACATAAAGTTTGATGCGGGAGATTGAGATTCAATGCCCTGGTCTCAAATTGGTTCCATGAGGCCTCCTGTGAAGCAGAACTACTCCTCATTTTGTTCCATTAGTTGGCTTAAGAGGACAGAACAGGCCATCTGTACATTGCTCAAATTGTCACTGTGGTCTGGCTTCAGTCTTCAATAGAAATCCTTTGCACATTTTCAGATTTTTAGTTTGTTTAGTTTTTACCAGGAAAAAAACCCTTGATGTGTGCCCTTTTTAAAATGAAGGGAAATATTGCAACATCAGTGCTTGAAAGTTTAGCTATTCTGTATCTTGAGGAAATTCTCCACTTTGCAACCCCAGTGACCAATCCATACTTCTTCACATTTATAGACTTTATTTACATCTTGCTTTTCTTCCATCACAGAAGTTAGGGTGACATACACACAGCTACAAGGAAGCCTGTCATCCATGCACTGGCCAAATTCCAGCCTTTGAGATTCCTAAACTTTATGCCTTAGTATGTTCAGCAATAATCTAGGGGTCCAGAATAACACAAAGTTTATGTCCATGGCAGACAGCAGAAATGTACTAATGCTTGTTAGTTCCTGCCAGAGAATCAGGAGTGGTTCTGCAAAGGGCTAGTCTGGCTGGTCGTCTATGAGTAATAACCTCACCTGCATATTGCTGTAAATTGATACTTGTTCTTCAGAGCTGGTAATATGCTTGGCTGGTGCAGTATCTCCACGGGCCACACTTACCTGCAACAAGAATGGAAAGAAGGACAGCTGCTCTCTCACCTGTGCCTCCAAGGCTCGTTTTCTGCCAGGTGGGTATGATACATCTGCCATCCCTTGTGTCCTCAAATTCTTTGCCCCTAGTGCTTTTGCTCCCAAGGCTGTGGGGCCAGGGAATTTATTTAGGCTGTCCGTTCTCTGGCACCAGCTGTCTAATTTTTATGTACTTCTTTGCACTGGGATGATTTGAAGTGTGGTTTACTCTTTTAAAATAAAATAATGAAATAACATGATAATGGATTCTGGCCCAAACTGGGCTATTTTCATCCAGGTGATCAATGGGCTTATCTTTCAGTATACATGTGGGCTTTGGGTTGGGCTGCCCCGGCCTTCCAAATATAGGCCTAGATTCATTTAGTCCTGACTTAGAAACAGGCTTCCACTGACTCTGACTTCTTGCTCTTTACAGAGTCGGACAACAGCTATACAGTGAGCTGTGGGACCCCAGTCCTGCGACAGGGACCTCCACAAAGGTCCAGTAATGGCAGCTATCCCTGTGTTGGTAAGCTTGGCCTTCAGAGCTCTTCTCTAGAACAAAGCCACAGTGTGGTGCAGTGTTTAGAGTACCAGACTGGGACTGAAATAGAGGGTGCATTGTGAAGTGCAGTAAGGCTGACATACGATTGTCAACCTTCCTGCCTGACTATCAGTGGATTTAGGAATGCAGTGTAAGTATGTTTAAAACAGCCTTGCTGTTTCCCACATATGCATGTTAAGAGTGGGAGAAAGGATGATGAAGTGCTTTACTTGGCAGGTGTGAATGCACCCAAGACCAAGGCGACTTAAGTTCAAATCTCCGTTTGGTGATCTTAGACAAGTAATTCTGTGTTGGATTAACCTGTCTCGCAGGGTTATTGTGAGGATAAAATAGAGGATATAATATATGCTGCCCTGAGCTCCTTGAAGAAAGAGCAGGAGAAAATGTAATAAATAGATACAGTGACCCAGATGGCTTCCCTGATACTTAGCAGTCGCCTTTTCCTTTAGAGACTGTTGCTGCACCAATCAAACAAAAGGCTTCCTTTAAGATCAAAGATGCTAAATGCCACCTGCACCCACGAATGAAAGGCAAGCAGGATGAGATTGGCAGGAATGGTGCCCCAGGTAAGGTACTCCCTTCTTCACCTCTTGTTTTCTGACAATCTTTCTTTTTGGTTAAATTCAGTCTTAAAGTCTTGTGAGTCCTGGAAGCAATATGGATCTTCGGATACATCCTCACAATAATTCTCCATAGAGTATTTGCAAGATTAGTAAACTGCTTTCCACATTGCCAAGATCGTACAAAATAAAAAGAAAAGCACAGTTTCCAGGGTGTGTTCATAGGTCGAAGTCTAGGCTTCCCTGGATCACTGAACGGTGACTTAGGTTTGGGGCCTCTTGGAGCTGGCAGATATTCTTGGGCATTATGACAAGGCTTAGAACCATAGAAGAGGGCAAAAGCTTGAGAGAAGGATAAACCGTAAGCCAGTGAGATGTGAGCTGCTGTCCTCAAATGATAACATAATGGGGGAGAAAAGAGATGTAGAGAGAGTTCCATGGTTCATCGTGGGGTAAGTGTACCAATTGTACAGTCATGTCTAAGGAAATTATGGCTTCTGTGGATCAGACATGGGAATTTGATTATGGGCTCTTAGATATGGGATAAACAAGGATAGTTATATGCAAGCTTACAGAGGAAAATCCTTTGCAGAAGCACCTGGATTTCAAAGAGATGTTGCTTAGAGGAAATTGACATTCTCCTGTCTCTAGTAGGTGGACCAACCCCATGCTCAGATTGCCAGGTGACTTTTGTGAACTTGAAGTGTGACTCCTCAAAGAAGGGCAAAGGACGGCGGGCTCGCAACTCTCCCAACAAGGAGGTGACTCGCATCACACTGGAGTTTGAAGCCGAAATCAAACCGGAAGAGATAACAGGTAGAGAAAAGACTGAGAAAGCTTGGATTTTGTAATAGCCAGCACAGATCATGGGGTAGGAAGGAGGCTTGAAGGGAGTGCCCATCTCAGGCCCAAACTAGGCATTACTTCTGACATGAGTTAGGTCAGGATTCCCAACTGTGTTCCTTTTACAGTCAGAGGGGATGTCAAGGAACTAACGTTCCCAAATGCACTGGAGCCCAATTCAGTTCAGGAGCATAGTGTGGGGGGAGGAGAGACTTCTGCTTTCCCTCACACATGATTTCCCCAAGCCAAAACAGGTGTGGAGGGGGGGGGGCAGTTTGCTTCACTGTGTGATGGCATGTGCACTGATTGCAGCACATGCAGCCTTGCGGCAGGGCAAATAGAGGCCTCAAAGGTCGTTTTGAGTCAGGAAAATTCCTGAGCTGAATTGGGCCCTGGCATGCTTGGGAATGTTAATTGCCAGATAATCACATATGACTGTAGAAGCAACACAGTTGGGCTGGAGAACTGTTAGGCCTGCCTTCACTGTGTACTGCTGAATGACAGTGTAAAAAAGACAGTTGTAATGTCCAACTTGCATGCTATTTTATTTGGAACACAGTAATGGAAGGCTTTTTTTGTCTGAAATGATGTTAGGGCATCGCAGTCTACCACTCGAAGTATATTGTCTTTCCAACTTACTGCGGCTGGCCCTAGCTTTGCCTGTCCCCAGTAAGCTCTCTGTGCTTTTAATACCTGCATTGCAAGGAGCAATTCATCAAGTACTGTTTCTGTCCTCACAATACAACAAGGTCAGAAAAATCTTGCTTTCTAAACCTCTTCTCTCCACTCAGCTATTAAAGGAATAGGAATGTCTCCCTTAAGGCCAAATGCTGATCCCCCCCCCTCCCCGGCACGATATTCCACTTAAAACAATCAGATATACAAGATGGAAAGCAAAACAAAACTAGTCACCAACAATAAGATTGCCAGTAAAAATGGAGCATTATGTGTTTTCTTGCCTTAATTCCCAGGGACTTGGTGTTCCAAAAAGCTATTTCTAGGGCTAAGTTTGGCTTGCCACTTAAATAATTAGACACGGGTGACTTTCATAACATCTTCTAGGTTAGCTTCTTACAATGAAGGGGGACACTTACTTATTGGTAGGGCAAAAGACTCGTATGGAAAGTTGTACAATTTGTATTGCACTTCAGACAGCTTATATGAGTTGTACAATTTGTATTGCACTTCAGACAGACATATCAAGTTTAAATACTCATTTAAAATTAAAAGCTAAATTATAGTTTATCTGACAATGAAATGTTGTTTTGAATTCTTTGAAAAATGCCCTTCTGTTTGAACAACCCCTTCAAGAAGAATTGTAAACCATTAGAATGGACATTGGCAAATGCTGATAGGCAGTACTGTATAGTATCCTATTGATCACTGAGACAGGAAGGTGAAATTGACAAAAATGTGTAGGATGGATTTTCCTGAGTGGATTTCTTCCACATTATCTGTGGGCTGCCACCCTGTGGCACGGGAGTCACAAATGGCACAGGGTGCTAAGATTTGTGGCATTCC